TGAGAGCGAAAACTGTGTCAGAGTCAAACCACAAATGTACGTTTGCAAAAAGACGGACCTTCTCGAAGTTACCAACGACAGCCCCTGTGAAGTACAACTGCTGTCCATGAAAAATACGACCACTTGCATACAAATCAACACCGAAATCACGAAGCCAAAGGTCAATCAACTAGAGGACTCAACCATGTGGATCGGCATATTTCCTACAAAAACGACTATTAATATGAAGTGTCAAGAACAAGATGAAATATCCAAAGTTTTTGGCACATATCTGATCACTATTCCAATCGGTTGTCAGATAACAACCAATCACTTAGAAATTTCCAACAGAGAACAAGTTATCGACAAAAACCAACCAATACTGATACCAAACTTGGACCAAGAAGAACACCCCATACCATTCCACACGAACTTCAGCCTGCACATAGATGACCTCAACTTGGACGAACTACAAAACGTCAAGAAACAGCTATTCAGAAACAAACCAGAACTAAATTTCGACGAAAATGGAATATCCTATTCCCCAAGCGTTTGGACTTTGACAATCTATATTTTTGTCATTCTTGTTGTAGTCTACACAATATACAGGAGGTTCAATTGCTACCGAACCACTTCCATTGGACCACCTACAGAAGCTATCCAGATGGAAACCGTTCAACTACCTCGTTCCACTGTGTAGTTGAATCTTCAGGGGGAGGAATTATGTCACCACCTATCCCAGGGATTCCGCTGACGCAGCTTGTATCCCCATCGCCTAAGAAGAAGATGCTGAGCTAGACAATAGTCTACCTTATTCCTAGACGCACTTGAGCCGGCAGTCAGAACTTAGTTTTTATACCGTTAACATCATCTCACATGCATCATTGTCCATTTTGAATAAAAGAATTGTTTTTAAAAAGCAAGTCCTTCGGTCTCAAAAGTTATTTCAGGGATAAATGTTCAGATCTAAACAATCAAGGAAAAATGACAAAAACAAACCAAAACCAAGATGTATCCTCCATATATCCTCACGTTACGATGATAGTGACGACCAAAGTGACGACTTCATCCCAATTTAAGACAATTTGTGAACGTTATTTTTCGTACGTTAACGTCTACGTGGGAGCCTACGTACAGTGACCACTTCATGCTTCAACTATCCCAGACTGCTCTATACTCAGACGGGAAGTGACTTCATTGGTACCTACTGTTGGTTGAGCTGTATTATTTCTTGAATGACAAATTGCAAATTGGTAGTAAATTTGTGTGTATCATGATATATTTCGAAATTCAAAATGTGATGGTAATAATAGCTAGATGATGAGAATGCAAACATATTCAGGAAAAGCGTTGGTGATGCTATTCACATGTTGTTTTTCTCTGGTGAAGATACTTATTTCTTATTTTGAAATTTCAATACGAAATTTACGACTATCGCTGCGAACTTTCATTAGAATAGACGATAACTTCCAACAGTAATTCTCGGTATGATGGATGGAATTTTTCATCATATCTAATAATATATCCTATTTTGGATTTTCTTCAGAGTTTCTGAAATCTTATGAAAATTTGGCTACGCGCAGTACTTATATTCTATGATGTTCAGTAAAGGCTGCGACATAATTGAAATTTTATGCAATAAGTTTCAAGGTTCAAGATCCAAGATATTGTGATAAAAATAAAAACAGGATGCAAAATAGAATCAAAATATAAAAGCTGGAATTCCACCAATGAGGTTGTCCGACGGGCGTGACCAGAAACGAATATCAGATTATTATGTCTGTATAATCGAAGTTATTATAATCGTGGAAAATGTGCATTGTGTGAAAACTGAAAGCTAGTTTGTGACCGAACCACCCAGGGCCGAGTGATCCTAATGCGCATCAGTGATGGCGCAGTGCATAGGCCACAGGCCAGTAGTCATAAAACAATGATAAGTCTCTACTCGTTTCACAGAACATAAGTTTGACGTAACTTATGAATCAAATGCACATCAAAAAAGAAGACCGAAATAAACCGAGAAAACCATTTCGATTTCAAGGGGTTCTGGGTTCGGTACCAAGGTTAGTAGTAGAGATTCGGTACCACCTATAAATAGAAGTCTGAATGTGGGTTCGGTTTCGGTTGAAGTTCACAAAATGATATGGGGTTTCCGTTACGGTTTTCGGTCCAGAACGCTTCCGGTCCGGGTCTTTTTGGCAGTAGCAGAAACGCATAGGAGGAAACGCATAGATGAGGTTTCGTCAACTAATTTTTTGTATGTCGGTATATTATTCTCTCTCGCTCATGACCGTCTTTCACCTATTAGAGGCCCTGGGCGCACATTAGAATAATGGGGCCCCTATATATGACCATAATAAAGTACTATTTCGTAAGAATAGACAAATAACGTATAAATGCAAAGTTCAAGCATCATTTTTATTTCTTTACAGTTACATTAGATATGATGAATAGATTAAATAATGTAATCTACACTAAGAAAGCAGCATCCACGATTAGTCCTTATACTCCTTATATGAATATCTATACTGATTGAAGAGGTACCCTTCTAGGTTTGAGTTGAGCAAAATCGGTAAAAACATCTTCAAAATCTATGTTTTCGAGCATATCACATTCTATCGACATTAGCGACAAACTATTTCATTTTTACTCTGATAAATTTTCAAGTATTCTGTTAAATGCAGAGCTCTTCGGAATTCAGAGTTTTCAAGCGAAAAAATAAACCAAAACGTTGACTAATGTTCTTATACGAACTTAATCGCTGTTTTAGATGAAGGCTTCCAGATCGTCGAGTCGGGCAGTTTTGCCAGCCAAAGGAATGTTCCGTAAATCTGTGGAGTTTTTTATTGTCTTTATTAGTTAAAACCTACGGAGGTCCACTTCTATTTTTTTTTCACTTTTTTTCAAGTAAATTATTATTGCGAAAGGCAATGGAAATGAAAAATTATATTGAAATTTATTGTTGCATTCGGTAAGCCTGATTTTCAGGCGAGAGTAGAGTAGCTATCGGGACTAGGGGGCCCCAATCCTAGCGGGGCCCTGGGCACGTGCCCAGTGTGCCCAGTGGGGAAGAGGGGCCTGCAGTCTCGCTGATACGACTACAATATGAATACGAGGATCGGACATCTGACATCTCCATTGTGTATATTTTTTTTGAGATAACATCGAGAGGGGGTTTTTTCATAATAATCGTCGTAAAGGTAATCATTTTGATTGCTGCTCTCTAACGAAGAGTTCTATTGAAATGATACACGAACATTATTGTGCTTATTTTTTTGTGTATTTCATTTGACTGGGTAACAATGTACTGATGATCTGCATCAACGCGGAAATGCATGCCTCTAGCTGCTTCATCTAAAATATTTCAGAGTTTGTAATTATTCGTATTCGTATTTCCGGATTTCCATCAATCCGGCCGGATCCAGTCAAATCCAGCCGGACTGATCTAACCAAGATAACTCAATCTTTCCTTTTTCATTCCAACATGGACCATTAATGGAGTGTAAAAAATAAAGATTATTTTACGAAATCAACTTTCGTCTGACTTAAAAACAAATAAAATCACAAATCAGGAAACAAAGCAAATAAAATCACAAATCAAAAAACAAAACGAATAAATTCTCGAATCGAAATAATGAAACAATCACCAGTCTCCATAATATTCTAACTCTTTTTGGTTTGGAAGAACGATCTCAAGAAACAAACTGTGTTAATTTGTTTCATCTACCAGTCTATTTCTAATAGAGCTACAAATGTAGCCTGCGGCCGAGAAGGCTCTCTCAGCTACTACACTTGTCGGCATAATTGTCAGCGGCTACAAGTATTCTCCTCGAACTCCTTCACTTTCAGATGCAGTAATTTCCTTTTTTATATAGTATTTTATCAAAATCCTTCTTTTTCTGAGTTTGTATGGTATAAGACGCTACTTCTTGATGGATCTGTGACTATGATTCTTCATGTAATATCAATTCTTTCTGTGATTGTGAATCTAAGTTCTTCTCTGCTATTTCTTCCACAGTTAGAGTTTATTATCTTGGTGCGGCTCAGCGACAAATGACGCCACACCATGCGTTTTAAGTATCAACTCATACAACAGCGCGGTTATTTTGCCAAAATATACAATCACCGGATCCGGTCACCGGATCCGGTAGATTGTACCAGATCCGGTAAGTGTATATTGATACCGGATCCGCCGGATTACCGGAACCGGTTTTCCGGATTGCAATCCCTAGGTACAGTGTGTTATTCTAGTCGTACTCATTGAAATGCACATCTGGTGATCTTTTTATATGTCCTGGAGAAAATGGTGGACATTGAAGAAAACGCGCCTCTGGTTATTAATTGATAATAAATAAATACTTTCGGCAAGATTTGCTCCGGCACAGTTACCGTCTCGTGAATATGTTTGTATGGCCAACCCCAATGTGAGGATCGTGTGGTTCAAGGTGTATGTAAACCGACCCCAGCTCTCAGTCTGAAAAGACGGATTAATAGTCCATGGTCCCGACGTATAGAGTTCCATAAATAGAATGCGTAGAACTAAAAGGAGACAACAAGGCAGGCGGATTTACCCTCATGTTGAGGTCTGATATGTCTGACCAATTAAAAAGTGCAACCAAAGAGGAACCTACTATTCTTTGGTGCAACACTATTAATTGTTGTTGTCGCCACTCTGTTTTTGGACCATTTGGAATTACTGTATTTGGATTGGAATATCACCCCAGCGCCACCAGTCCTATCAAATTGGTTATGTAACTATCGCAAACCCTTTATTCCTGAATTTTAAACAAAAAATCCAATCCAACAAAACTCTGTATTTGCAAGTTACTGTTACCTATATCAACTGTAAATCCAATTAGCGCAAGTTTCATTTGTGTTGTTCCAATATTGTTTTCATGCATTTTCATTTCCATTCCCGAATGAAATTACTATAATAATCTCAGAAATGAGTTGGAGACAATTCCACCTGAAAAAAACAAAAAAGAAGAGGTAGAAAATCTCAGAAGAATAAAAAGAAGAAATGCAGAGTCGCGCCAAAAGAACTGTCAAATTGTCAAAAAATTGAAATAATCAAATATTAAAAATTCCGAGATTTTCTACATCAACTTTTGTCTTTTTCCTTCTACTACAATCTGTTGAAAAATGGATTCGGATATTTCGAAAATTACACCAGAAGAGTGGATAAAACGAGAAGAATATTTCTTGGAACTCTTGAAAAACCCGAGTATACGAAACCAAATACCACTACTGAACATTGAGGATGTGCAAAACTTCAAAAACTCAACTTTGGTGAGATTCCAGGGTATGATTCAAGATATGCATAGTCCAGAATTATATCTGGACAAGTTTGATATTGTGAATGAGCAATCTAATGAGAAACATCATGGAAGCAGCAGGTACTGTGATGAAGTTGAAACTAAGGAAAATGAATACATACATTTCCACAGTTCCTCCAAACATATCGCCGAAAGACAAACTTATGTAGTAATTTCTGTGCCTGGTGTAAACAGTTGGTCCCAAATTACAAAAGCAAATGAGAATGTAAAAATGTGTCCATCCAGTGGAAGTTGCCCAAAAAAACGCACTCTTGAAGAATCTATGGAAACTGAAAGTGGACAACATTCTACAATAAATGAGAAATGTAATAAGAAAATCAACTGCAATGAGAATGTGATTGCAGGAAATAGTAGCAAGATAGACAATAAATCTACAAATTTAATTGAACATTTCAAATCTTGCTTTCCTTTACCTGAAGAAACTGGGCAGATATTCCATTTGAAAGTGTACAAGAATCAAGAAAACCTGAAACTGAATGATGTCTGTGAATTTGTGGGATTTTTAGCTGTGGGCCCCTTGACAATTGGTGATCCAGAAAATGAAGAAAATGAGATGGAATTCCAAACTCTATGCCCCCCTTCTTCCTTAGTTCCAAGAATACACTGTGTCAGTTTTGAAAAAAATTGTCATAACAATCCATTGATCCTGAACAAAGATGAAATGAATCTCACAGAATTCAATTTGGTCTATAAGGATTTACTTTTAATCCTCACTCAACTGCTCCTAGGAGATGATCTAGCAGCAGAGTATATGATTTTTCACCTAATATCAGAGATCTATATGCGTCCAAACTATTTGCCACTAGGGAAGTTCTCTTTGAACATATCTAACATACCAAAATTAGATCTAGACTATGTGAGTGAATTATACAAATTTATAGAGAGGTTTGTCCCAAAAAGTTATTACCTTCCATTGACATTAGATAATTTGAATGAGCTGAAATTTGTACCAAAAAAGAACAATGAAAGTAATAGTTTGACTTCTGGCATACTTCAGTTGAGTAATAATACTCACTTGGTTTTGGATGAAACAAAGCTGAATCCTGGGAAACTCAACACTGCTGGAATAAATAATGTGAAAACCATAATTGAGGCTATCAAAAACCAAAAAGTAGCATATGATTTCAATTATTATCCCCTAGAGTTTGATTGTGACATTCCTTTTTTGATATTTTCTGAAGGTAAATCCATGCTCTCTTCTGATGTCCATGTTGTACTAGAACCAGACCTGTTTTGTGCAAATACAATCAAGGAAATCTTTGAAGCAGCAGAGCAATTTCTGAAACCTGATATTCTGGATGGTATTAGAAGATACCTTACATTGGCTAGGCTAACACAATATGAACTTACTGATAAGGTTGAGGAGTTGGTTACAAATGAGTTTGTGAACATGAGACAACAAGGAGCTGTCTCAGCTGATGATCTTCACAGCATGCTTGTATTATCAAGGTTAGTTGCTATTTCACAAGGGAAACCCAATCTTGATGAGGAGAGTTGGACAAAGGCATGTAGACTTGAGCACCAACGGAAGGACAGATTAAATAAGAAGCCTTGTAATGTAGATTAAGTATAATTTCTGTAATTTCTGCATGTTCTCAAGTCAACACATTGAAGAACAATATACTTTTTGTTTGAAAAATTTGTCACATCATTTGAAATATTCCAGTTCTTTTTTTTTAGATAAGCTTTACACATTTTGTTTTTATTGTGGGTCACAAACTCCGTTTTTCTGCCATCTACTCAAAAGTCCTCAATTTTTATTCCAAAATTAGTTCTCAAAGTGTAAATTTCTCTTTCTGACACAATAACATGATTAGCATGTATGTTATTTCCTGGCAACCTTTTAGTGTCTAGGAACTAAAGTTGAAGTTTAACTCCTAGGAACTAAAAATGTGTCCAATGACAGCTGATATGATTGCTGCTTTGACACTGACATGCTCAAGTGACTCAAAATTGTGGTATTTTCACCTAAATTTTATTAATTAGATATCAATTATTTCAATTGCAAAAAGAATAACATGTTTCATTTGGATCAAAAGTGACTCTGTTTCACTTGCAAAATTAGCATGCTCCCCTTCACAGACACTCCACCTCGCAAACACAAATATCCTTGTCAAACAAAGTGTCACATTTGATCCTAAACAATGTACTATTTTATACCATTGAATAATGCTGAAAATTCTCTTCACAGTTATAAGTATACAGGGTTGATATAAAGCATGGGATAAAGTATGGAACCAAGTGAATATCTTTGTGAAATGAAAAGGACAAAATTCATTACACTTTGCAGTTGACACAAGATGCATCAGATGTGATTGTTTTTGTTGATAATGAACTTCTGGTTAGATGAGAAATAGACTCAATTCGTTTAATTTGAATAGGACACTGTATTTTTTCACAAATTTTTATAGATCCTAATATTTCTAATTCATACACATACTGGGTTATTTAGTGGGAATAATACACGATACACGGTGGGTTATTTAGTGGGAATAATACACTGTGATTTACATAGGCTACAAATTAGAAGTTTTCCTACTTGCAGTTGAAATAAAAACTTTAAAGTTGGTATGCTACTGTTATAACTTATCATTTTCAAACTACCAGAAATATGTTAAGACCTCTAGCTATACAGGGTGTTCTAAAAGTTGGCACCAACTTTCTAATTTTCAATAGAAACCTACAATTTTTGTTGCATGGTTTCATTGGCCTTCTAATTCTGAGATTAGCCAATCTAATTCATGTCAACTTAACTTTCACAGTGTTCAAGATTCGTCGATTTTTCCGCCGTTCATGGTAGTTTACTAAATAGTTATTTACACACGGGGGTAGTAAAAAATATTAGTTTTACCCCAGATGATAATGATGATATTCTTCACTACCAAGGTGTATATTAATTTTCTTCATCACTAGCAATTTATTTTAATCATTATAGTTCTGTGAAACCGGAATGTGGACCTATACAGTGAGGACCAAAAGTCCGTCGCCCCCCCTGTAACTTCTTTATTCTACATATTACAAGAAAATGTTAAATACATAAGTTGTAGGGTTTCATTCGATCTCTTCGATGGTTTAAGTTTCATTCATACAGAGTGTCTCTAAAAAGCACGGTGACTTAGAAGTTAATTTTTTTAAATGGGACTTCCTGTATTTCATTGCATTATTACATTCTACGTTGAATTCTGAAAAAGTTTGATAAATGGTTTTCTATCAAAAAAGTTGATAGTTTTGGACTTATGAACACTTGTAAATAATTATTTCCACTAATTTTGCACCAGTTCAGGAATACATTAACAATTGTAAAATGGTAGACGAGGTAAGTTACACATGGTGCCATCAGCAGTTTGCAACATTGGATAGCTTTCAAAAAGTTAGGATAGGAAAGTGGAATACATTGTGATCCATTTGTTACGATTTTTTCATTGAACTGGCGCAAAAGTAGTCGAAATAATTATTTACAAGTGTTCATAAGTCCAAAACTATTAACTTTTTTGATAGAAAACCATTTATCAAACTTGTTCAGAATTCAACGTAGAATGCAATAATGCAATGAAATACAGGGTGTCCCATTTGAAAAAATTAACTTCTAAGTCACCGTGCTTTTTAGAGACACTCTGTATCAATGAAACTTAAACCATTAAAGAGATCGAATGAAACCCTACAACTTATGTATTTAACATTTTCTTGTAATATGTAGAATAAAGAAGTTACAGGGGGGGGGGCGACGGACTTTTGGTCCTCACTGTATATATGTCACAATATGAAAGCAGCTCTTTTCAATTCTAATTAAAATCTAGTCACAATGACAGCATATATGACAAGTCGTAATTACCCCTTCCTCGCAAATCGCTCGTCTCCAGCGATAAAAAAATTAACATAATTGAAAAAAGTAAAAACCTATTACCCTAATCGATTACAATTACAACTAAAAAGTCGAAACCAAGCTGAAACATATTGGCATATTGACATATCGTGAAACGGTACGATCACTATTTCTAGTCCCTCGTTTCTGAACATCTGACCTCTTTTGACTGCTCCAACTTGTATCTTATTGAACCCTCTACCTGATTCGCATCATTTATTTTCTACAATGATGAGTCCATTGGGCGTCAACTCGACTTGATTAATCATATCTGGAATCCGCTTCAACCTTATATATGTGCCTGGATAGCAACTAGCTTTTTTGACTATTTGGGTATTCAGGGAGGGCTGTTCGATGCTCGCTTTCACTCAATTGTTTCTCGAGGGGCTGTGCACTCACACTGGCTAACTTCTTCCCAACTGATAGAACGGACTTATCGTCGTGAATTGGGGCTCACGTCATCTCAACTGGTGGAATGGACATTTTCATAGTGAGGTACTTGCCTTAGATGTCTCAGCCTTCACATTAGATATTTGTGTCCCTAATCTGATTTGACAATCCTATAAAACAATTCTTGTAAACAAACGTTTGACAGATTTGAAAAAAAAAATTACATCGCAATACATCTTCGAATTATAATCGTCGTTTGGGGGTCGAATTAAATTATGAATACTGGTTATTTGCATTAATATTTCTAAAATATAATATTCGAATTCAAAAGACCTTTCTGACATATTATACTAATAAAAGACTATTTCATCCACTACACTTTTAATTTTTTTAATTGAGATCTAATAATATTTCCTTGTTAGACCTGATACATTTGGTATTTTCAAAATTTTGTGTATAAATCAATCTAATCTAAGTACTTATTCTATTCAATCTTTGAATGAGTACCTTATTCCACTGTCCACACTAGTGCGGGAAAACAAAGATATGATGAAATCACTAGTAATATAAGTGGTTGGTGATGGAATTTAAAAGTTTAAGTTTGTTTGTTGCAGTATTAAGTATGTATGTTCAGAATCATCCATCAAATTGCACTATTTATTGTAAAAATTAAGAAATATCGAGATATAAAAATTGATTATTATAGAAATCCCCCTATAGATTTGGATTGATCTGACAGGAAACGTCAATTTGTCATGCCAATTAAACCTCAAATAAGTTTGAAATTGTCGAAGTGACAGACACAGCGTTACTGTCATTTTCGATTCAGTGGAAATGCCACAATGTGATCAAAAACTTCTAGCTATAGGGATTTGATACAGATGCGTTATCACCAACGAAGTCTTAAGAAAGGTATGAGAAGCTATACACGCGTTTAATTGAATGGTGCAACAATAAAGAAATGAAAAAACCGAATGAAGAATAGGTATTTTTGGCTCATTTCATAGAAGTGTCTGGAACCTAGAGACCAATGCAATGAACCAACATAATGCGTCAAACTGTAAGTTCACAATAGCTATTACTAATAATTAATAGATAGAGAATATATATATCTCTTGTTAGTTGTTCCTATTTGCTTGAATAATTATTAATTGAACGATTCAATTAATTTCCTACGCTTGTAGAAAAAATATTGTTCCTAACTCATGCGGAAAGTTTCTTTCCCGCACTCGACTGCTTGCCCGAACTCCGCTTCGCGTCGTTCGTGTCAACGGCAGTCACGTGCGGGAAAGAATCACTTTCCGCACTTGTTAGGAAAAGTACTATTCCATAATGAAGGATTTCTTAATTTCCATCAGTGGCGTCCCTGTTAACATACCCTGTCATATTTTTCATCAAAATAATGATACGCCATTGTCTTTTTTCCAAATGAATATTATTTTTGTAATTATCCACTATCTTCTCATAAAAATGGTCTCTTGTCTTCTTTTCGTTCGGCGAACGGGTTTTGAGTTAGAAAATAAAATGCATTCATTTGCTTGTCCCTATTCGATTTTTACTCTTAATCATAATTTCACAATTGTGGTAACCAAAAGATCTGAGCAATATTTTTATAATTTTATGGTAACTATTTTTGAGTATTTGTAATGAAGAAAAAAGCCAGAGCGGTTTCAGAGATATTGGGGAATAACTGATTTTTTTGTTAAATTTCAACATCCTGTATCTCAGAAACGAAGCTGTTACGGACCTATGTTCACATGAAGAATTTTTCTTAAAATCATCCAAGGATTATCACCCTTTAGGATCAGCATTCAATTATGAAACACCCTGTATCCTTAGATGTTCTTGCCCTTTTGTATAAACATATCCCTAATAACACAATTATGTCCCATGGATATCCTTAGGATGTCCTGTCGGGACGGATATTCAGGACGTCCATAGGACGTTCGAATTTGGTACCGTGGACGTCCACGTTTGTGGGACGCACAAATGTCCCACTTGAAGACCAACTAGGGACGTTCTTGAGGGATGTCCCTGGGACAACTATCGAATACCTAAATCCTACAGTATTCCTTATCAAGCACTATGGAGGACATCCGTAGGACAACCTATCAGCAACGCTTGAATTTGAATTTTTCTGGGTCCCTCTTGGACCAGATCTTGCATAACTGATGGACATCCAGTTGAGTTGATGGTCCCTACAAGGTCCCCAATAGATCCTGAAAAAGTTTCCCAAGGATGTCTAATGAACTCACGTGAAGGACATTGACATTCATAGCCTACGAGCAATCATTCGTCGGCGAGGTGTAAGTTAACGTCCTTGCAGGGACAACATATTAAAAGTACCGACTGGGACGTCCGTAGGACGTTATTTCTAGGACATTGGAAGAGTACAATTCATGTACCAATTGGGACATCCGACGGATATCCTTAAGGGACATTTGAAGGATGTCCCTAAGGAACATTTGTTATACGATCCTGGAAGTATTGAATGCGTCTGTGCAGAGATATTTGAAGGAATGTACCATCAGGGACATTTCATGGTTGTCTAGAAGGGACATTATATAAGATCTGAAGACAGGCCAGAATATGTATTACTCGTGACATCTGATGGATGTCCCAAAAGGAACATTTAAAATCATATCCCATCAGGGACATGCCAAGGACGTCCTTCCATGGACATTCTACAATACGTACCACGTGGGACGTCTAAGAGATGCTATTTCTAGGACAGTTGAAATGATGGACCTGCTGGGACATTCCGTGGACGTCCTTGGTCGGACATTGCATAAGATGTACGGGATGGGACGTCCCAAAGACACTTATTTTTGGTCCGGGACATTCGGACTTGGAATTGTACCAAATAGGGACGTCCCTAGAACGTTGTGTGCTGTTAGGAATTCTTCTTCCTTGGACACGTGATTCGTAAAATTTTTTCTCTGGTGAATTGTTATTGTCATGTTTCATCGTACTTCTTCATACTTATGTGAACCTCATTCTAAAACATAAAAAAAAAGAATTGAATGGTATGATGCATATTAAGATTAATGATACCTAAATGATTATCACGTTGCTGATACTGCTGGCGTCCATGGGTCATTGTACCTCAAAATTCGACTTACGTGGATAACATCTGTTTTATTATTCATGCCTGTCTCCATTTCAACTTTGTAGTTCACAGGAGCCAGCTTTCCTAAAATTTCATAGGGTCCATATGATATTTCAATAGCAACTTCTCACTTCGCCCTACTTTTCTCAATGGAGTGAATACCTTAAATTTGTCCCCCAAGTTATATTCAATGTGACGATGGTTTTCATCATATCTGCTCTTGTCGATTTTTTGCCTCTTTTCAATATTTTCAACTGCTAAACTCCTAATAGCTAAGGCCCTGTCTCGAACTACGATAATGTTTTCATTAGCTACGTGACTCAACAAATTTGCCTCAGTCAGTGCGTTGACTGGAAGAATGGGCTTAATCCTATTGTGCTTTGCGGGGTTGTATTCATCGAAAACTATGCATGTGGGACATATAAGTAGTACCTATCCCAGACGTCCTGACTAGTTGAAGTAAATAGACTCAAGATAGCAGCAATTTTCGAATTCAACCTCTCACAATTTCCATTACATTGAGGGTGATATCCTGTGGTTTGTTGTTTTTGAATTCCCATGATTTTCAATAGTTCATTCTACAGAGCCGTAACTAGGGTGAATTTGCGCCCTCTATATATAACAACAGTAAGGGAGAAATTCGAATAATTATTTATTCTTTTTTTCAAAACAGGAACTGAAAATACAGGAATTTGTTCATTATTTGGTAGAAGTCCATAGAAATATGTGACAGTAAGTGAATGAAATGAATCAATATTCTCACAACATGAACAAAAATCAAAAGTTGAAAACTCTCAAAAAAAAAAAGCATAAATGAATATAAAACATGAATGAATATCCTAAGTACCTATATATTATATAGGTACTCAATCAATAATAAAACTATTTACAAAAAATACAGGTAGGTACCATTTCCATGATAGTAGATACTTCAGCTAGGCTATCAAAAATCTCAGGAATTATGTTTCGTAACAAAAAATAATATAAATAAATAAATAAATATTCTCACAACATAAACAAAAATCAATAAGTATCACAATAAATTATATAGCTACGCATCTCACAAAATAAAAATCATAAAAATGCAGGAACCATTTTCATTGTAATTGGATAGGTAAATAATGATCAAAAATGTACTTTTCTTGCTTTAGCTAAAACAAAACATTTATTTCATCTTCAAAATCTACTGAAGCTGCTGTTTCTTTCTCAATGCTAAGTATAGCCATATCGGTCAATCTTTCCTGGCCTATTGAAGACCTCAAAAAACTGTTCACTAGTTTTAGTTTACTAAATGATCTTTCACAAGAAGCACTAGTAACAGGAACAGAGAAAAATATTCGTAAAGCTATATCGATATTCGGATATATTTTCTCTAATTCATTTTCATGAATGATTTGAAGAGTTTGAATGTGATCTAACTCGGCAAAATTGTGCACAAGATCTGATGCTTGAAATTTAAAACTCTCAATTTCATCAATGAATTCAGAAGCATCGAGGTTATCTTCATACTTCTGAACTAAATCTGCAGCATTTTTCTTTATGTCTTCTAGGGTGGCTTGCGAGATGAATTGGCCGTTCAAAAACTCAAAATCATCACTTACTTCTTTCAGGTTAGCAAATCGAGATGTGAACTGTGTTATCATGTTATCAAATATGCAACGAGTTTTCATCTATATCGCCAGAGCCATCGACACAAAGCTCACCAGACATTCTCTTCACACGTCTTTTTCTTTTCTCAGGAGGAGTTGGATCTATATTCAACTCTGCACAAATTGATTTTGCTTCATTTAGTACCTGATCGAAGGATTTATTCCTGAAATCAGCCATTCCATTTGTCAAACCCTCTATCATTTTCGCTCCTCTACTCACATCGAGTTGTTTAGCTTGTAGCAGCACATTGAACTTTATTAATTTTTGTCAATAGTGTATCCCACAAAATCGGAATATTGATGGATTGAAAGGATTTGAGAGTTTTCAGCAAAGATTTCACATCGGAAACGGTTTCTAGATTGAATTTTTTATCGAATTCCATCTGGTCTAGTACATCTAGCACCTACTTGAACTGCGTTTTGAGTGCGTGTACGGCATTTGCTTTCGACGACCATCTTGTATCACTCGAACTTATCAAAGAAATCTTCAATTTGGTAGTAAGTGCTTCCCATCTGGAAGTTGATCTTGCAAAGAAATTGACTAGTCTCTGAACATGACCAAAAAATGATTCCGTTTCGGAGTCGACCTTGGCAGCATTCAAGCCAAAACAAGATTCAAACTATGTGCAGTGGATGGCTGGAGAAAAATAAGTCACTTGATTTTTGTTGTGTGATTCGAAGTGCTGTGCAATGATTTTGTCATAATGGCTAATCAAAGTTATCGTATTCAAAAATCTTCCGCAATTAGGGTTTCCTATTATAGTTGATCCCCCCTCAACGCATCGTTGTTTTTAACACAATGCATTATTGCATCTAATATCACCTTCAGGATATGTCACGACCACTGGGGCCTTCCTCCCCGGCTGCGTGATCTTAGGGGGTTATGCTTGGCAGCAAGAGGGTGTCCTAACTACCACGTGCTACCACACTCTCGTAACTCGATTGTGGCAAGGAAAGAGTGCATGTTTTGTTTAACATAAATTTAAGTTTTATTGAACGATAAAAAAAACAGTGAACAAGTGAGCAACATAAAAAGGTTAAGTGAGACAAAAAAAGTTAAGTGAAGTGACTATATTAAAGTGACCCTATGGCTACACCTTCTAGTGAAATCCTACATCTCTGGATCTAACTAACAACGTGGTTGGAGACAATTACAGGGGCTGTACAAGGTAATGAAACAGTTTTTTGATTCAAAAATGTACTTACATTGTCCATACAACAATCGCTGCTCCGGCAGGGGAGGAGATGTGTGTCATGGCGTTGACGTCTACTCACTCACTAGCGTGGTTACAAAAAAAACGTACCTACTCGTAATCCACGTCGTACCAAGTCTGATTGTCTGATTGTCTGATTGTCTGATTGTCCCGGAAAATCTATACTTCAATTGTTTTATAGGCGATACTTGCCGAGTTAGCAGAATCAGCAATAATCGTACCTATCGAGTTCATTACCTCATAGGTGAACTTTCAAGTCCGATGAATTCTGCCGGAAAAGCTTACTAGGTTCCTGTCTGTGAAATTTGAACCGGGTTTGAATTACATATGTTATGTGAATGACTTTGGATATTATCTACTGAGGACTTTTATTTTCTTATGGATATTTCTTAATAAATTGATTGAATGGTTCCTTTGGTATACCAGGTGTGACAATTATTTGTTTCTGATTCTATTTCCTTTTCTAATTCATCATCAATGAAACCGCCAACATCCAAATATCTTTCGAATGTCTTCCATTTCACTTAATTCTTTTTATGTTCTAAAAAACCTTCATGTCTCGGAATTCGTGGAATTCAGGTGCTTTCAATGAGAAAAACCATTTTTCTCAAAGGCGCTCTCTCTTTGACCGAACAAAATGAAAGGAAAACAGTACAGAGAGTGAGTTCTTCTGCAATATATCAACCAATTTTTACTAACTTGTTCTTCATAGTTACATTTTTCGTGAACCATTTTTTGTCAAATCGTCGGTTTTCAGTTGTAGGATATATAAAATCTGGATCATTTCCTTGCTCAGGCCCATGTCGGACAAAAATTTTCAAATCAGTGTCCTGATTGATATGCTAGATCTACGTCAGTAGAAAAATCTGTTTTAGTGGGATCCAAAGATTTTGAGTCACTTTCTATAATTTTGATTTCAGATTCAGATTCAAATTTCTCTATGCATTCATCATCTTCCATCTTCTCGTCAAGAACTACAGAACAAGTCATTGGAGAACTTGTTGTGAAACTGTCATCAGCGATATTCAGGTGTGACTGCTTCAAATATCTTTCCATAGATGTACTGCACTGTTTTTGTTCAATCAATTTCTGATCCCGAATTTTTTTAAATTGCGAGCCTGATAATTTTTTCGTAGGCATTTTTCAAAATGTTTTCTCGTTTTTCAATTCTTCAATTGTATTGAACTTATCTGAAATACAAATACTTAGTTATCCTATATAATTCTAAAATCTATGAAACAATTATTGACTAAGTATACCTAGAGATTGTAGTATTATCTCGAGTATTATCTACTCAAAAAATACCATATAAGTAGTCTCCAAGGATGTATTTATTTACCAAACAACGAGTACACAATTATCGCGCTCCCTCAGGCTAAGCTCTCCCGTTGCATACTCCCCTACCCCCTCATTATCGGAAGCGCTGGTGAGAATGCATGCGTGCAAGACTGGTTGTCTAGTTATCAGCCTGATAGCACATCTTCCCGCTTTGGCCTATTGGGGGTTACAATTCCGGGAGTATTTAATTCCGGGAGTATTTAATTCCGGCTTATAAGCTAGCTTTTTACTATTCAATATTTCTTCCGTCTCACCATGAAAGAAATCCTGAGAATCTTCAGCTGCAGACGACACTTCACTACTCTCTCGCGTGACACTATGACGAGAATCGTGACACTCGATCGCGATTTTGTGACATGGAAGGTAAGCCCTTAACTAAATTTTCGTCTGGACATATTAGTGGTATTTCCTCGGGTGTTTCAGTCCGGGTGTTTGAAAAATGCATAAATCAAATGCCAACGATTACGACGATATTGCCCGAAATCTGTCTCAACGACATATGGACGCGGTTCCTCGCAAATTTCAATGACTGCCATATTTTCGAATATCTACCACCCACACTGAATCACCCACAGTTAGGGTGTCCATATCTTTAGCATTATGGCGTTTGTTGTAATTACTTTCCAGCTTATCTTTCAATTGTGCTTCTTTTTGCAGATATTATTCTGACTGAGAATTCAGTGATTCATTTAGTTTGCTTGGCAAAATTGGGAGCGTCGAACGCAACTTATTTCTGTTCATAAGAAATTCACTAGGTGCAAATCCATGCTCCAAAGGACTAGTCCTACAAGCTAATAATGCTAGAAACATGTTCTTTTTAATCAATCGCTTTAGAAAAATCACTGACTAACACTTTCACAAGAAGAGATCCTTTATTTTTCACAATAAACAGTAACGAAATATCTGAGAAATATTTTTATATATGACAAGTCATCAAAGTCAAAAATCTAATGATTTCATCAACTGTTTCAAATAGTTACATCACATATAAAAACAACATTCTACTAAATGATTACTATGATTTGAACATTACTCCCACCTTGCGATTCCAAACATAAAATGATACACAAAACATAGAATTGCAATAAAATAAACACTTCATCAACGATTAATAATGCATTTTCAATCCAGATATTTTAATGGTGTTTTAACCACACGACCACTTCTTGTTTTCACAATCTTCTTGTTTTGAGAAGTATCGTGTTTATTATCAATTTCAGTTTTATTCTGAGTACTATCAGCTGATATTTTCAATGGACTATTCGACTGGTTAGAACTACCAGCACGTGATGCAATATCAACGTTCTCTTTACCCAGCTTGAGTAGAAAATTTTTCTGAATGGGTCTCAATAATTCCCCGGCATGAGTACGAAGACGAGCAACCCTAATACAACCATCCTTACCAGGAAATACCCATAGAACTCGAGCTAATGGCCAATCCATTCGTTTGGAATCACCATTGCCTATGAGCACAATCTCCCCAACATCAAGTTGTCTTCCTGATGAATTCCCACAATTTCTGTGCCTAAGTTCACCCAAATACTCTAGGCGAAATCTTTTCTTGAGATGATCGGACAACTTTTTTTTATATTGTATTCGTCTATTCAAACTTTCATAGTCAACAACGTCACAATCAGGAACTCCAACTTCTTTAATATCTTGAATAAACAATGCCGGTGTCAAAGGAGTTATTGTCTCCGATGAATCAGAGACATACGATATCGGTCTATTATTCATTACTGCCTTACAGTCACACAAAACCGTTGACAACTGCTCATAATTCAGACATGCTCTTCCCAAAACTCGACGTAACAATTGCTTCAACAAACGAATCAACCGCTCCCACCAACCACCCCACCAGGCAGCGGTTGGCGGATTGAATTTCCAGTCAATCCTCTCTGCAGTGCTATATTGAGCTATCTGATTCCAATCTAATTTCCTGAAAGCATTATCAGTTCCTTTGAAATTCGAGCCATTATCGCTATAGACAACTGCAGGTCGACCCCTTCTGGCAATGAATCGACGAAAACCCTGTATAAAAATTTCGACAATGACAATATCTCTAAATGCACTGCTCTATACATCCCACATGTGAACAGTGCTATCCATACTTTCTGTTGCCTTTTGAGAAATAACGGACCAGCAAGGTCGATCCCCACAACTTCAAATGCTGCAGCATCTCTCACACGATTTTGAGGAAGGCCAATTGGAGAAGACTTTAGACTACTAACTGCGTACCTTTTGCAACGAACACATTTTGAAACCATAGATCGAATTGTTCTTCGACCACCTAGAATCCAAAATCTTTCTCTTATGAGACTCAACAAACCTTGTACACCTACATGACAAGCTTTTTCGTGTTCTTCCCTCATGAGCTTGTCTACGAGAGCTTTGATTGATATATTACGCTTACGCTGGGAAGATGCCCAACCTGTGTTATTC